TTGATCTGGGTAATGCATGTCTTGAAGTGGCAGGACCCTGGCTGCGTATCCCAGAGCACTTCATTGATCAGATGTACCAGGAGTGTCCTCAGATGGCTCCAGAGGTCATGGAGGGGGACTCGCCATTCAACAAGCCTGCCGAGATCTATGCATTAGGGGACCTGCTGATAAACATTGGAAAGGCAGCAGGAATCTGGCGACTGCGCAGAACTGGCAAGCGGTGTCAGCATATTGACTTCAGAAAGCGCCCCACGATGGCACAATTGTGGAAGAAGTTGTCCAAACACTGGAAGTAGGTTGTCATTTGCCCCAAGGTGAAGTTGAAGGCAGGAGAAATAGTAGTTTGTTCGTATCACATTACCGCTTTCTGAAAGATCATACCCCCAAATGCCCAGCAATCCAACCTCTAGACAACTTCACTGGTTATGGCTTAGTTCTTCCAGCTCTTAGAGCTTGTATTTGGTGGATAGGCAAAGCGCACTTGGACTGTCAGTGTATTCCACCTACTCAGCCAAGTTCAAGTGTATGAATTGCATAAGTGACCACATCTAGTGGGTATGAACTCATCAAGTTGAACATATTTTTCACATTTTAGGCCATTTTTAATCACGAGGGCCAGCTCAGTAGTCCATGTATACCCTTGCTTTACTGCAAACTCAATGCATGACAACCATAAAGTTAAATGCTATCTGCTTGTTGTTGGAATTATGCAGACCAAAAGAGAATGTGTATTTATGGCCTACCACACATCAATGAGCAAATTTATTACAGAATTATAATCAAAACGATTGTTAATGTATGAAATCATCTATTTAGGAATAATTTCATTTTTAATCTAAATGTACAATCAAGGTGTGGTGAAAAGATTTTCTTCACCACCGTGAATGTTTTGGCATTAAAAGCAGTACAGATGAAGCAACTGTCTGCCAGTAAAATTGCGTAATCTATGCAACAAATATTGATGAAATTGAAATACTTATCAGTGACATTGCCATTAAGCAGAGTTTCCGCAAAACATGAACTGAGACATTTCTTTGATCTTGGAAACCAAAGCCATTCGGTACCAGAATTCCATCCTCTCAACTCAAAGATTAATTACTACCCAACTTCTAAGTACTAAATCCGCAAAATTTTCAGACAAATGGTACTATGTGTTTTGTATGCAACTCAAAACAAAGTGTAATAAAGCATGAAAATTAAAAGAAATCTTAAAACAAATTATAAATCAGAAAATCTATTAAGGCCGGGTGGAAACCGACATTCATGTATCATGCTGTTAAATTCATAGACACAGGGTTCAAAATTGACCTGATTTATGTTGCTTACATTTATATGAGTAGTTGTAGCTTGTGAAATTGGAAAAATAAAACAAAGAAAACTGATGCTTGTTTTTATCCAGTATCTTTATTTACCAGTGGTGTTGTCTATCAGTAAGGAAAATAATAAGGATAAAAATAATTATTTCTAAAACATCACTTAAAACTGAATTGTCGGTGACGCTTCACATTAAAAATAGTTAAAATACAACAAAAAAAAGGGCAAAACATTACAACTACATGTAACATACTGTTCACATCGAACCTCTTAAGGAAACATCCCAAATGCTTCATTAAAAAGATAGGTCTTAAGATTTGCTTTAAAAATCAGTGAAAAGTTTAATTTGTCATCATGACACAGGCAAGTCATTCCAGAGCCGAGGGGCACAGACATTAAATGCTCTATTTCTCACACTGACTTTCTTTGGACGTTTACATTCAAGAATTGGAGCTGAATTAGCTCTAGTTTGTTATTGAAATTGTTGAAGTGGGAGACTGAGATAAGCAGGTCCAGTGCCCCAAACGGCTCTGAAAGCAAATATTACAAGTTTAAATTTAGTCCGCTGCTGAACAGGGAGCCAGTGTAGATGGTAAAGAATTGGTGAAATGTGTTCGTTCTTCTTTGTTCCTGTTAACAATGTAGCTGATATAATGATATAATGCACTGCCAAAATCCAACCGTGAGGTTACAAAGGCATGGACAATGCTAATAAGATCGCTGGGCAAATATTTTTAATCAGCAACGATCTTTTGCAAATAGAAAAAACCTGTGGAGACCACCTGCGAAATGTGCCTATGAAAAGTTAAATTACAATCGAATACAACCCCAAGGTTGCAGGCAAAGATATGACAGATATTGGTGTTACCGATCTTAACACAGACATCATTTGGAGAAAAACGTTTCTGGTTTGGAGATCCCAGTACAAGAAATTCACTTTTCAAACCATTGAATTTAAGTTTATTTTCTATCGTCCAGTGGCAAATATTGTTGAGACATATTTTCAGTTTTGCAGTGACAATAATGATGAAGCATCAGAAAAAAAATCACCTTATTTAAAATACGGAAATGATGTAGCATTAGTGGGGTCAGTGTTAGTGACAGGATACTGTAAAAGAAATGAAACTGATTTCGAAATAAAACCGAATTGGTCAATATACGTGTTATTTTTGACACTTTGCAATTCCAGTGCTGGGGAGCATTGTTCTCAATGACACATCATCATAATAATAGTAATAATCATAATAATGGAATAACCTTCTTCCATCGTACAAACTATGACACAATATATCTTGCACGAGTTTCATATTGCATAAATACAGACTCTATTCAACCACTACTGCAATGTTTATTACATCAAGCTACACTACCCTCCAAAAGTTTGGGAACACTACGAGTCAACAGATAATTTTGATTATCGCATGCTATTCACGAGCTATTCTTGATAGCTGTCGTAGGTTTTCAGCAGTGAAATAGATTCTAATGATGTAACCGCTGTTTCTGGCTTAGTTTGATTACATTATGGTAATGGTATTCCCCAAAGTCAGTTGATTTTGCATAATTAGGTGTTCCACACCTGGAAATTGCATAATTCACATTTCTTTATTGGGAGGTGACCTTGGGATAACGAGAAGTTGGGTGTAGACAGTGTCAGTAGCATAACTGAATGTTGTTACAATGATCTTGGAGCACAGTATTGTTATATAATCAGAAGTTTAAAAGGCCTAAAGCATGGTCCTCTGCCCTTATCTTGGTCTGCACAATCTGAAGCTGACAGTAACGGCTAAATTTCCATAGAAACACGCTAATCTGTGGTGGTTTTACGATCTGAAGGCTACAGCATGCGCGGAATAGCCAACAAACAGAACATTTCTCTTCATGGAGTCTACACCTGCCTTGCAAGGAAAGCTGAGACTGGGTCAAATGTGGAAACAGATGCGGCCGGCCAAAGATAACTTCTAAAGCCGAAGATAAGTACTTTAGAGTTTGCAGCCTATGTAACAGATATTTGGCATGTCCAGAAATTACTTGAGAATTGAACAGCACGTGTAAGGAAGCTGGAGAGAAGGCTGTTTCTTCACCCACAGTGTGCCGTCACCTCAAAGCTGCAGGTTGATGGGGCGAGTATCCAGGAAGAAACCACTCCTCAAGAGAAAAAACAAGGTGAAAAGGTATGCTTGGGTTGAGAAGTATAGAAACTGGGCCGGAGAGCAATGGGAGAAGGTACTGTGGTCAGACGAATCAAAATTTAAAGTATTTGGCTACGTTCGACGGAGACCTGGGGAGAGGATGAAATCACAATGCATCAAACCCACAGTCATATATGGAGGAGGAAGTGTCATTGTGTGGGGTAGTTTTGGGGCAGGCAAAGTGGGCAATTTGTATCGAGTAGAAGGCGTCCTCAACCAGCATGGATACCACAGTATACCCCAACATCAAGCCATTCCCTCAGGACAGTGTCTGATTGGTGCCCACTTTGTCATGCAACAAGACAATGACCCAAAGCATACGTCCCAGCTGTGCAAGTCACATTTGGAGAAGAAAGAGTCACAAGGAGTGTTGACTGTCGTAGACTGGCCTGCCCAGTCGCCAGATTTAAAACTTTTAGAGTTGCTGTGGGAAGAACTGGACAGTAAAGTAAGGGAGAAATGCCCAACGAGACAAACGAATCTGCAGGAGCTACTTCATCAGTAGGCATGCCAAGATATTTCACCGGATTATCTAGAAAAATTGATGGATAGGATGCCAAGAATCTGCCATGCGGTCACAGCTGCAAAAGGAGGCTTTTTTGAGGAACAGAAGGTCTAGAGTAGCAACAAAAATGTAGTGGTTGTTGAAAAAACATGTATGGCTCAAGTCATCAAAAATAGTATTTTCTTTTGTTAATAGGCCAAATGGGTTCATGATCATTGCATAAGCTGACACAGCTGTACAAGTATTAAGTATTTCATCATATGAATGTATTTTACTGCAGAGATTGTGGATTATTTCACCAAAATATCAATAAAACATATGTAATCATAAACCAAACTTGTTGACTCATTATGTTCCCAAACTTTTGGAGGGTAGTGTATAACATAACTTTTCCAATGAAAACAAAGTACGCCAAGGGGTGACCGTTATGCACTGGAGCAAGGATACCCCAGGATTACAGTTAGGGGTTGAGCCAGATTAGGAAGAAACTTAAGCATCATGCTTTCATGTGTCTGTACATAATTCATTGCATTTGATATGCGTCTACACGCAAAACAAAAGTCAAGCGTAAAATGTTGATGCGGTGTCAGGTTTTCTAGAGTTAAAAATGGGTAAAAATCCTCACATGAAAAAGAACCATGAAACTAATTTGCCCCATGTTTTACAGTGTATGAATATTCAAAGACCACCTCCATGTCATCATTGGGCAACACGATTGATTTCAAAACATGCAGATATTTCAAAAATCACCATTGTTTTCATTATTGTGTGATACTGATATTTTAACACCTTGTCTATCATTGAAAGTACTGACTATCATTGAAAACATTTAAGAACACTTACTTCAACGCCAAATTATCATGAATTGAAACAATGAATCATCAAAATATACAACCGCACAATATCCAAAAATTGGGGCCAATCTTTAGTGTAGAAATAGCTTTAGCACTGACGTTTCTGCCTTGGATGACACCACGTTTGCTCATAAAATATGCAAATTATTAAAAACACCCTTAGAATTTATAATCTGGTTAAATGGGATAGACAAGTATTTACAAGAACTGTGTTTAATTACACAGTCTTGGCCCTTTAGAATGATTACATATTCTACAAATTACTTCTTTTATACATGTATTACTTCATATACTTAGATATTCTTTTACTTAACGATTCACCCAGTGAATTTATTTTCTCTAAAATAGTTAACAGAACACCTTCAAATACACAGTGCATTAAAGGAATGAGTGTGTAGTCTGACAGTGCAGAAGCAGTTTATAAAAACAAAAAGACCAATCGTTTACATCCTCCAAAATACAGCAAAATAATGAAATTCCTTGCAATACAAGGGCAATTGGGCAGTTGGTCAGGGGTAGGAATGACCCATGTCTCAGTGAAACATGCTCTAAGGTCCACAGTTTTGCTGTGAAATGCAAACTACTGGTTGCTAGACCAGTGTACATTGGATGCCTCATACATCTTGGGGCACACAGTATTTTTTTCTTGCATACACAATTAGCCTTTGCCTATTAAAAATGAAAGCAAACAATGTGGAGTTTGTTGTGTAAACACAAATTCTGGTTCTTGTGCATTTGTGCCCATTTCCCTGACCCTGGCTTTGTCTCTAGCCACCGATTCATATCAAACTCCAGAGTCGTTTGGTTCAAAATTACATTGCAGTGTTGGGTTTCATACAAAACAGAAAATGGACCTTAGTGAATCAAAAGAATTCCCAAGCCAGGGGTCTGATATCATAACCCCATGCCCGTAATCAACTGAGATGATGAGCCAAGGTTTTGAAAATCCCAAAACTCAAAACCGGTCCCCACAAGACTGCTGTGCAGCACTTGCAGACTAAGGTTTGACCAGAGGTGCATGAAAAATGCACTGCAGCCAAATGCAATTTAAATACATTAATTTCAATTTTGGTCAGACCAATAATGCAGCCATCAGATCAGCAATGATACTTAAAAATCCCATCAGTGAATGATAAAAAAAAGAGAGAGAAATGGCCAATAAATCGGTATCTCCGTTGCAAAATAATCTGAAAGTGCCTATCTCATATTAGCACCGTTCAGCATGCTATCAAAAATATTCAACTAACTTTGAAGACGCCATAATACTGTATCTTATAAGCAAATTACATTCAAACATTTCCCAGTGGCAATGCAATGGAATGGATTAGAGCAGTCTCTACAGGTAAAGCATGTCGCCTTTGATTCTTCTAAACAGAAATAGAATTAGCATATGCACCGGTAGATAATAAAACAAGTTACTGAAAAAAAAAACAGCAAAGGAAAACCTGCCAAACAGACAAAGAAAAAGACCAAATAAAATACTATGCTTTTCATACGCAATTTCAAAATAGACGAGTAAATTACAGCAATGGTGTCTGCCCATTATCTTACAAGTTTGTGTCTTGCAAAATTGTGCTACGGACATTTTAAAATCTCTGTAGAAATACAGTTCAGCAATAAATTCTCATTTACACAAGAAGGGAATTAGATTCCTGGGACTAACAACTTTTTAAGTGGATTTTTAACGACTTTATCTCCCTACCTTGTCACACACCCATTGGCTTCTTAATTGCTAGGAAACATTGTGCGCACTGAGTTGTCAACTATCTTTATCTAACTTACTGTTTTGGACAATTCCACACAAAAGTGGACATTGATTCAAGTTGTTACCATCCTCATTATCACAGGTTTTTCTTAAAAAGAGATTTTTGAAAAAAAAAAGATGGGGGGAGATAAAATGGTACCATTATATTCATTCCACTTCCATTTTTGGATAACACTTTTTTGTTTGTGAATCACACTTGTTAACCACTATCATTTTTTTCTGTTTTCAAATTTCTTTAAAAATTCAATCTTCATTTACTGGACACTTACAAACACGTGAAGGCATGTCTGGTGTCCACTCTAGCCTGACAGACAACATCTATTGTTGCTGGAGTAGTCCTACCAGGTCTGCCGCCTAGTATAAAGAGCCCAGACTTTGTGGTGTTACATAATATTCTTTTATATATAACGGTTTGCCCGTACCCAAAAAAAAAAAAAAAAAAAAAAAAATACATCTTGATAATATTCTTTTGTTCACGAAACTGGCTCAGTGCGCTGCTGACCTCTTTGCAATAGGGGCCAGATTAGCATGCAGCGGTGCTGTGTGGCTCATTGCTGCAGTGGTGGAGCGCTTTTGTCCCCGGTGGTAATCCACTTGCTCTAAATGCCCCAAAACCGTGGTATACTGTTTCAAAACCAGGCTAGATTATCTCCACTTTTGAGAGTGAAAAAATGTTGGTAATGCCCATCAGCCTGGTCTTTTGTTTGGAGTATGGTCTTTTGTTACAAGGCCCTGTTCCCTTTGTCCAGTTCGGAGACCCCGGCCACAAATATAAAGCATACGTGTCCGGATCCGGAATCCCAGGCAGGAAGTGGTTAATGAGGTTGGCTACACTGAGACCAAATGTCTACTTTTGCGTGGAACTACCCTTTAGCAGATATACTCTGACAGACTACAACTACCTTTTGTCACAGTCATTTAGAGCCAATGAACTCCAGATTTTAGGACAAGCTCTTTCTAATGCACCAACATTGGATGGTATGTGTCTGAAAGTCTTTGATACCAGCACAATTTTATGGACTAGTTGTGTAGTACCCTGACTGCACTGGTGCCATGCTATCCTGCTACTGAGACTGATGGGTTGGCCATCTTCCAGTCTTTGCTCATTTGCATACATGGGTGCAATTGACGTACTTCACTTCTCAAATGAAATATGGATGTAATGTATGTCTTATTACAGACATGTATATCCACGGCTTTGAAAGCTACTTTTCGACATGGTTGTCTAGTCTAGGACTAGTGGAATCATTTTATTCTCTAACACACTGTCAATAGGAATGGAAGTTTAAGCGATTGATATTGAATTACGTGACTTAATATAATGATATTAGGAGTAAACGTTGTGGTTGCACCAACATCAGCGTCAATTTCAAGCAAACTAACTTTAATGCTGATGTCAAAATTACCCATGAAAAAAGTAAAACTGTGATAACAACCGAGATTTGATGCCATTCCTGGTGCCGAAGAAAGCTTAATAAGTGATTGCTTCATAACTTCCAGAGACTAAGAATGCTGGAAAACAGGAACTTTCATTGCTGGTTTTATTTAGACTTGCTCCTGGGCCAAGCGATATGCATGGACACTCCCTTTCTCTGAATAAAGTTGACTGGCCGACTTGTTGTAGCGTCTCCGCTTGGAGGGCAGGACATTGTAGTCCACCTCACCATCCTCCTCAGAGGGTGTGCCGTATCCCCCACCCCCAGGGGAACACAAACACAAGGAGTCCTGTCAGAAAGTGGGAAAGATGTGTCACGTTGAATTCGTTGAAATGTAGTAATGAATAGACAAAGGCTTTGGAGGTCACTCCGAAGCAAATCCTGGGGGAAAAAATGGCCAATAACACGATGACGTCACACTTTGTTGACATGTATGTTTTCCTATGATGGCTCGATAGATCGCGTCTCACCTCATTGCCATAGGAAAGCGCATGTGTAAACAAAGTGTGATGTAATTACATTTCAGGCTTATCACATGGCCAGTCAACAGTAGCGGTTTATAGCAACGTCACGAGATACAATGGTTTTATCGTGGAAATGTTTTTCTCAATTTCTCAACTTGTGTGCTGTGGCATTATCTACAGACTGAAGATACTCCGCCAGGGTTGTCACATCAGAAGACTTAGCGATGAAATTCAGTGGTAGAGCCCACTAGCACCTTGGACTGTAGAGTATTCACTGGTGGCATGCTCAGTGGTAGTGCATTCAGGAGGAACATATTCAGAGATAGTGTGTTAAGAGGTGGCATGTCCAGAGCTATTGCGTTAGTAGAATGTTCAAGGGTAGCGTGCTTGGTGGCAATGAGTCATTTGTAGTGTACCTAAAGAGAAATTTGGAAGACTGACTGAGCGCAATATGTTTCTAAAGAAAAACGAAACCAACGCAAGAGATGCATGTTTTTTCACAGGGTAAAGTCAAAAGGATGGTCTTAAGATAAAGAGTTTACACACTACTGTGCAACTTTCAGCAATATCCATGCTACATGTTTTGCTAGTGGTTTTGTCCTTGCGGTCTTTGGGCTGTACAGCAGTTTTACAATAAGTGGGCACCAGACTACACTTTCATCCACTTACTCCAGCAGACACATCGATGGCTGTTTTGGCTCCTAGGTTTACAATACGACCATCTGCATAGACGAACAGGTTCCTACCCGATTGGCCAGGCTCACCACCTTAAAGAGACAGATATCAGCCATCGTCACGAGTCAGGCTACATTTAGGTGGATGTTGTGAAGTGATGCGCATCACTACATTTTGGAGACAAACGTCAGTTCTTTAGCAACATCTTTCTTGTGTGTCTTTGAGTATTCAGTGTTTACAAAGCTAGCAAATCATGCAAATTTGCCAGGAATGCCTGGATATTATGCAGTCTTAACAATACCTTGCTTTATGATTGGTGATCTCCTTTGTAAGTATTTATTCAGCATAAAATCATTCAATCAAAACTTGTTTTTTACAAAATGCCACAAATTAGTGTTCTGATGAACTAAAATTTGGAATTCCACTGCAACCAAATTAAAAACCCTGCTAATGCAAAGAGAATTCACTGATAACCAATAGATTTAAAGCTGTTTGGTACAAATACATTCTGAACTTCTATTTATGAAAGCACTATTCTACTGCACACAAGTTACTTTTTCAAAGTGGAGAACCCCGTGTTTCTCTAAGGAACAATTCTGATTAAGTAAGTAGTACGAGAGTGGCGTTCACACAACACTGCCAATGGTTTTGTAGTAATGAAAGAGGAACAAACTTACCATTCAGGCCATATGGCCTTAGCGCCCTCCTTTCAGTCAATACTGACACCGTCAGAGGTCGCCGGAATGTCATTTCTCTGATGACCCCATCTCCACCCCTGTACTGTCCCCGCCCACCCGTGTTGGGGTTCAGCTCAAATCTCTTGAGAACCACCGGATATCTGAGAGGATGAAGGGTACTTGTGGATGTGATATATTTGGCTGGTGGTTGTGTCACAGGTAAAGGAAATGAACTAATACTGCATTCAATCTTTTAACTAGCAAACAGAAAAGTACACTTTTGCAACAAAATATAATAAACTTGATGTACGTAATACTTAAATTTTAGGAAAATTCTTGCAAAACAGTGTTTGTTGATAATGCTACAAGCTTGCTGTTTGATGACAAACACATTTTGTGACGTAAAAGTAGCTGATTATATAAGTTTAGGGATCAAAAGCCTGATTAAAAAGAGCTTTCAAAACAAAAATGAATAACTGAACCCATTTCAAGGAATGTTTCAACTAAAAGCTACATACTTTTAAAATTTTCTGTGATTTGTGTGGTTTATTCATATCAACAACAAAAAAGTGGTAATCACCTTTGTAACAATCAGACTCAAATTCTAATGACATTTAAAATAACGTTTCAACAGTGGAGCTTTCCTGTCTGACTGCTGGCACTGACATCAAGAGGTGCTATTATTTTTAAATATTTCTTTTCTTTTGATTCTGCTATTCAGGAAAAACTCTACCTTCTTTCCAGTATCTCTGGGTCAGTAATTCTGGTGTTTGTCATGTGAGTGTGCACACCACTCTGACCATCCCAAGTAGGGCCCTACACAGATAAACAGAACAAGGATATCAAAGAAAGACGGTATGAATGTCTGCCAAAAATAGACAGTGTTACCTAGTGGTCTTTGTACTCAGTCGCAAAATTTCTACAATAGGACATATCGGAATGGGTGCCAAAAGAGTATGGATAGACATGGGTGACTCACTGAAATGCCTATTTTAGTGTATTCTATTTTATTACCTGATCTGTCAAAGATGTTTCAGGATTCTCCAAGGTTAACGAATTTAAAGGGCCAAGAAAATTTAATTTTGTAACGCTGTTCTTGTTTAAACTTCTTTGTATCTCATTAAACTGGATTTTCATTTTCTGTCTATCATTTTGAGGGCATTTTGAGTACTTTCATTATTATCTTAGTGCTAATTTATATATTTATAAGCGAAAGTGTAATGTCACCCAAGACAGAAACCTTAGTCTTACTACAGCTATTTGTGCACTAAAATTTGCCCAAATTTTGTCTATTCTGTCACCGTAAATTTTATTTCCTTTATTGAATCATTGTTGTTTTAGTTCATGACAGTAGGCCTGCAAGCAAAGCTTTCTCAGAAATATTTTCAATAAGCAAAGTTGGGGTTCACAATTTGAGTAGAAAACTCCAAAAAAGAACCGAATATTCAATAAGGACAAACTATCCACAGGTATGCCTACTATCAATGATAAAGATGTACAGGGTATGCCAATACTGCCATACATGTGTGCGTATTTCACTACCACACGTATTGCTCTATGGAATGTCTTCCTAATGACATCACAGCAAAAGCATCCTCATTTGCCAGGGAAAGAATGGAAAATTTCAAACGTTTGAAAAAGTGCACTTGTAGTGAACAAGACCTAAAAAGAGATGTCACATACTTTTCAACATTAAATGGGGAGCAGAAAGTTGCTTCAAGTATGTTCCAAAGTAAAATTCGAATCACAGACCCCTTTTAATTTAAAGGTTACCAGACAATTGATGGGGTCTATAAAATACAATTGAACACTTAATATCAAAATTAGGAAAACGTTATCATCTTAGCCCAGAAGTAAAAGCGTTGGTGTCCAGAGCTCAGAAAAAACTGCACCAAGGGTTGCCTTCAATATGACACAAGGGAAATCACTAATTTGATTAATAGTATACAAACATTGACTACTTCAAGTGGTATAGTAAAACTGTCCTCCTGAGGTGATCCATGGAGCATTCTATTTGCCTTGGAAAAAACAAAATGCTTCAAGGATCACTGAGGGAGACTAGTTTACTATACCAAGAGATAAAGTAGTCAATATTTGTTTTGTAACACCTAACCCATAGATTTACGCTATGAGCCACAGAGATGGTAGCAAGTCAATTTTGCAAGTCCAAGCCAAGACAAAAACCGATAGTTACAAGTCAAGATTCATAAAAATAGCGATGAGAGTCCAAGTCAACTGACTCGAGTCTGCAACTCTGATGAGCCAAACTACAAGTCTACTATTCATGCGGTTTCATTGCTACGGATATAGTTCTGTGACGTGACAGAGGGCGCCAGTCACTAGGCACGGTGCAAAGATATAGATGGCGCTCTCCCAGTAACAGAGGCAGATGTTAGGCGCGCATAGCTGTGTGTTAAGCAAGCGCGGTGCATAGGCTCCGCCTTGTGCGTTGTGCGATAGGGCAGTGGAAGTCACTGCTTAGTCACGTGAGCACGTGCGCGGGCGTGGTCAAAGCAGCGCGAAAGCTATAAAAGGCGCGCGTAGGCTACGCTTAGTGGTCCTGGTAAAGGGCTGATCCTGAGGTAAGGGTCCAGAATCCTGTGCAAGGGTTAAAGTCACCTAGCCTAGTGTGACTGTGCCTAAGTCCGAGTGGTGCGTGTGCTGTTGAGGGGCTCGGTAGGTTGAGGGGCTGATTGGTGGTGCGGTATAGTTCCTGATAGGAGCTTGCGGTCGATGCAAGGGTGGATTGCTATCTCGTGACGTGAGTTGCGTGTAGCGCAGCCCTGACAATAAGCCCCGTAGATTTGCTGAAGTCCCTGATTCGGCACTGGATGCCTGCAATTAATTGTGGTGTTCGCTGCTCTGGGCGAAGTCCGGTCACGTATAATCGCGCAG